TTCAGAAAAGCTTCCTATAAGGGCAAGCCCCTATAGTTAATTACATTTTAGATAACCGAAGTCATCCAAGAAAACTCTCGGTAAAAATCAGGGAATATTATCTTCAAATAGGTCAGAAGGATAGGAATTTTCAACAAAGTCGGACAAAGAGGTGCGAAAGAGGAATGACTCAAATTTGGAACATTTATTATAGAATCCAAATGAGAAGAACTAGGGGATGCAACAGATTCAGAGGAGATCCTCGGTGACTTCCCAGTCTACCCTATGGTTTGGCTTCAGTTTCGAGGAGAAATATTCAAGTGTTTTATCCTGTCAATTTTATTTAATTAGGGTTTACATTCGTATGAAACGATCACACAAACAGACTGGAAGATATGAGGATTTAGGTCGTGAAGAACGACAAGCTCGGAAATAAAACGAGTTAGGGTTTAGATTGCACAGTAGAACTGTACAAATGCCTAACGAAAAGGTTGAGGATTTGTGATGCGCTAGGCGAACAATCTCGAAATCCTATGGATTGTTGTTTTAATTTCAAGGAAATGAACGATTTAGCTGGAGAAGACATGTTCTGCTGTTGAAGATGGTCGTGCTGCCCACCGCACTAGTTCCAAGCTCCTTGTCGTGACCAGTTTAAATTTTCTAGGGTGTCAGGTTATAATGTCAAATCCAGGACCTTATGGTTGTAGTAGTTGTAGTTCTTCAGATATTTAATAGATAATATGTTGAAGTTATACAGTGTATAACATAACAGTAGAGTATGTAGCACAGGACAAATAGTAGTGTATGCAGTAAAGAAAACAGTACAGAAAACAGTACAACATGGTACAACATGCGGTGTAAAGAAAAATAAAAAGTACAGCATGTAGGTGATTATAAGAGAATAACATGCTGTAAACATAAAACAAACCTGTATACCTGGGAGATCCGCTGTTCCTTAGGTGTAATTGATGCAACAGGTACAAACAACAAAACTTGAGGAAACAGGCTGAAATGCTTTATATAAACGAAAATAAAGAAACATCGTCCAAAAATCTCGAGAAAGATCGTCAAAAGACTCACGACAAGAGAAATGCGAGGAAATCGACAAAGACAAATCGACAAATCGATTAAAATCGTAGAAAATACGGAAAAATCCCGAAAAGAGACCACGAGTAAACACGAGTGCTTTGTTAAAAAATTTCAAGAAAAACATTTGAAAAAGTCTGAAAAGATGGGGACCGCAAGCACTCGGGTCGGGGCTAGGCTCAACTATATATTAGTACTCGAGGGTCGTCGAAGGCTACTCGGTCACCCGGATGTATCAATAGGTGGACAACCGATGTTTAAAACGTATTTAAAATTTATATTTTCAGCATGCACATAGGTTTCAAACATGCAAAAAGTGGGTTGTATCAATTTTGTTTGTAGCGAAAAATGTATTTTTGTTTTAGAAAAATGTGTATCTGTTCTTATCAATTTTGTTTTTATCAATTTTGAAAAATAGTTGTCCACAAGTCGATTGCGCTGTCGGGCATAAGGCTACCAACAACCTAAGAAGGTTTGGGTCAACTCCTGCTAGTCTTGTGTCGGTGAATGATACTGTTATCCTACAAGGGTTCTTTAATCGGATCCTGATAGGTTCCTGAATCGGATCCCGATGTCGTAGGATGACATATCATTCTGCTCTATCTCCGATTTGTCTTTGTCGTCACCGCCCTAAGCCCCAAAACAAAGCCGTAGCAAAATGCTATACGTGGACACTTATGTATCGGACATAAGCATCAAAAATCGAACCAATAAATAAGGAAAAAAAAACAAAAATGGGGTGAGAGAGAGGAGGGGACTGATTCACCTAAAACATCGAAAAGAACGAAGGATGAATCAGCTCTCAAAACTCATGATGAAAAGACCTGAAAAGGAAAACCTGAAGATCCTTGAATCAATCCGAAAGGATATCATTTATGTGGATCAACCCAAGTCAAAATGACCTCCTAATGCCGGTATCCAAACCCCAAAGATATCTTTTATGAAATCAATTCGTCTCAGCCAAGTTTTCTCCCGAAATA